ACCCTGAGCCCTAGACCTGAATTCTGGACGGTGCCGACAGCTTCTCGAGAACGAACTGGCAAGCAGCAAGTGCTGCGCTGCAGCGAGGGTTTAGGGTTTAGGGCAGATGGTCTAAAAGGGTTTAGGGTTTAGGGTTTAGGGTTTAGGCTAGCGGGCTTGTGAGGGCCTGGCTCTGGGGTCTGCGCACAGCGCTTCCAAGCGCTGAAACTGAGGGCTTAGGGTTTAGGGACTAGGGTTTAGGGTTTAGGGTTTACCTTCCATCATGGAGCAGCATTCTGAAAGAATTAGAAGGGCAGCAAACTCTGGATTTGAAAACCCTTCTGCTGCTTCAACTGTGGCCTGTACGTACGACGCGCTGCTGCAGCCCAGTCCCACAACCACCCGAGCTGTTGCTGCTGCTGCTGCTGCTGCTGCTGCTGTTGCTGCTGCTGCTGGTTCTGCTGGTTCTGCTGGCGCCAGTGTCTCGGGTTCTGCTGCTGCTGCTGCTGCTGCTGCTGCTGCATTATCTGCTGCTGCTGTTGCTGCTGCTGCTGGTTGCCTCCCAACTTTATCTTCTGCTGCGAGCCGAATGCCGAGGAAGCTGTGCAGGGGCTCCGTTCCTGCCGCTGTTGCTGCTGCTGCTGCTGCTGTTTGCTGCTGCTTATTGTCTTTATTTGAATTAAAAAGTCCATTTATCTTTTCCACAAAATTGTTTGGCAGCAGCTTTTTATCTGCTGTTAAGTGCAGCAGCTTTTGTGGGGTTGCGAAGAGCTGTCGATACACCTCAGTAAGCTCTTTAAGGTAGGACTTGAAGGCGGCCTTTCCTGCTGCTGCTGCTGCTGCACCTGCTGCTGCTGCTGCGTCTGCTGCTGCTGCTGCTGCATCTGCTGGTGCCGCTGCTGCTGCTGCAGTGGGTTCTGTTGCTGCTGCTGGTGTGGCGGGCTCTGCTGCTGCTGCTTCGGCCTTCTTTCCGTCTGCCTCTGCTGCTGCTGCTGCTGCTGCTGCTGCTGCAGTGGCTTTGTTGCTGCTGCCCCAGCCCGCGAGGTTGACCATTGCTTTTCTGTCGAACCAAATTGCTGCTGCTAACTGCAGCAGCAAATAATTAGGTTTTCTTTTAAGTCTCAAGAGTTGCTTCTGCTGCTTCTTGAGCTGTACATACACCCGAGAACCCTCGATGCAGACGCAGCAGCAAATCGCCCGCAGCAGCAGCAGCAGCAGCTCGAAGTTGTGTGCAGCAGCAGTTAGCTGCACAGACACGAGCTCCCGGAACGCCCCAGCAGCAAACCCGATGCTGCTGCTGCTGCTGCTGCTGCTGCTCGCCCCACAGCTCACGCTGTGGCCCGTAGTTAGCTGCAGCAGCAGCTTCGACAGCACAGAGTGCGGCAGCCGCACAGGAGTCTCATCTTCATCTGCTGCTGCTGCTGTTGCTGCTGTTGCTGCTGTTCCTTCTTCTTCTGCTGCCGCTGCAGCAGCAGCAGCAGCAGCAGCAATGCCCTTTTCAATGAGGTCGTCTTCTAGCTGCAGCATTTTGGCTTCCTTGCGGGTTATTTCAATGTCACACTCCTGCAGCAGCAGCAGCAGCTGCAGCAGCAGCAGCTGCTGCTTGCTGCTCCAGTGCTGCGGTATTCGAACAACTAAACAAAGAGACACAAACTGGGAAGGAATGCTGGTCAGCAGCAGCAGCAAGTTGCTGCAGCCCTGTATCTTCTCTGCTGCTGCTGCTGCTTCTTCGTCCGCGCCCTCTGCTGCTGCTGCTGCTGCTGCTGCTGCAGGGAGAGGGAAGTTAGCAGCAACTTCGGGCTTGAAGAGAGACACAGCATCAAGAGCAGCAAAAGGGACTTTGTCTAAAAGCTGCTGCGGGGGTTTTTGACTTTGTTTGATTTTGACAGCAGCAATATAATCCTGCAGCTGCTGCAGTTTGCTGCTGCCAACTTGCTGGCGAATTGCTGCTGCTGCTGCTGCGTCTGCTGCCGCCTGCTGCTGCTGCAGCCGCCGCGACGGCCAGCAGCAAACCACTGCAGCAGGAGCAGCAGCAAACCACTGCAGCAAAACGTTCGCCCAGTAAGACTCCGGCTGCTGCAGCAAAGCAGCAGCAATCTTTGGCTGATCCATTTGCTGCTGCAGCTCTTCTGGTTTGCTGCCGTACAAAAAGTACTCATTGATTATTTCAATAACTGCAGCACAAAACAAAACAGTATTCATTGATTTATTCATTTATTTATTTATTTATTATTTATTTGATTAATTACACAATTAACTACTTAATTAATTGTTTAATTAACTATTCAATTAATTATTTAACCAATTGTTTAATTAATTATTTAATTGCTTATTTAATTACTTCTTTAATTATTTAATTTATGTGATTAATTTATTATTTATTTATTATTATTTTCACCATTTATTTATTACGTATCCATTTCTTGTAAAAGTGTAATAAATAAATAATAAATAATAAATAAATAAACAAATGCAGCAATTAATTAGTGAATTAATTAAAAAATTAATTGACTAATTAATTAATTACTTAATATAATTAATTAGTGTAACTAATTAATTAATTACTTAATATAATTCAGTAATTTAACTAACTAATAGACTATTCAATTAACTAATTGAATTAATCAGTCAATTAATTAGGTAATTATTGAATTAAATGAATAAACAACAAATAAATAAATAATGAACAATAAATAATAAATAAATAATAAATAATAAATAATAAATAAATAATAAATAAATAATAATAATTCTTACGAGTCGAGTGCGGGGAAGTTTCGAGGGCAAACTGGAACTGCATGAGGTCTCTTTGAATAATGGATTTAATTGCTTTTAAATTTATCTTTTTTGGATTTGCTTCTTCCAAAATCACTTTTTGAATTTTGTCTGCAACAAACAATCCTTGCTGCTGCTGCAGAGACTCCAGAAGGTCCTCCAAAGCCTCCTCCTCCTGCTGCTCCTGCTGCTGCTGCTGCTGCTGCTGCTGCTGCTGCTGCTGCTGCTGCTGCTGCTGGTCCGTTTCCGCGTGCTGCTGCTGCTGCTGCTGGTCCGTTTCCGCGTGCTGCTGCTGCTGCTGCTGCTGA